TAGTGTTACTGCTACTGAGTCCTGATTGATTAGCATTACTGCTACTTGGTGCTAATTGATTAGAATTATTGCTGCTGAGTGCAGATTGATTAGTATTACTGCTACTGAGTGCTGATTTGTTGGTATTACTGCTACTAAGTGCTGATCGGTTAGCATTACTGCTACTGAGTGCTGATTTGTTGGCATTACTGCTACTGAATGCTGATTGGTTGGCAAGCTGTTCAGCTCAAAGGCTGAGCGAAGCCGTTCACACTCACTAATGTCATGTCCTATAACTGTAAAAATAATGCAGAAAGGTTTTATTAATGTGTTAAGTTATTTATCTGGAACATACATAGGACACGTGAAGAACACTTCACATTGCTTTTATTTACATTGTTGTTAACTCGAAATTAAGTACACATCTTTTACAGAGAACACACTGCTGCACATTTCGATGCACAGTGACTGTTTACTTACTGAATTGAACATATTTGGAAAAAATATAAAATATGTAATGTGTCCTTTGCTAAAAGTTAATATATATATATATATATATTTTTTTTTAACAATATGTTAAACTCAACAAGTAAATAGAAACTGTGGTAAAATTCACAGAAAAATGTCACATTTGAGTTGAAACGTTTATATGCGACTGTAACTGTATTTTCAGACGAGATGTCACTTGCGCTCCTCTGGCGATTTGTTTCGAATGAATACTTTGCTAAAAAATAACAGTCTAGGATTGGCCCATTTAAAGCTACACTAGGTAAGCTTCTCTGGATTTGGAGACCTCTCTGGTGGAAATGGGTAATTGCACGTTGTAACATTGTGTTTTGGACCCTTTACCCAAGCGGATGAAACTGATGATTGTGAGCGTGTTGAACGTATTCAAAGTATTCAACGAGAACTCAGATAACACTTGGTGAAGGATTTGAGAGAATTATCTACTATTGTCATCATATCCTCATCAGTATACTGTTGATTTTGCATTTGAGGCCTAAACGTCAAGCAGGGCCTGCTGTTTGGGGGCATAGGTTGGTATAGTGTAGTGGGTAACAACTCTGCCTTCTACACTGTAGACTGGGGTTCAATCCCTCACCTGGGTAAGCGCCATACACTATATCAATAAGAGTCCTTGGGCAAGACTCCCAACACTACCTTTGCCTACCGGTGTAAAATGATCAAATTGTAAGTCGCTCAGGATAAGAGCGTCTGCCAAATGCTGTAAACGTTAATGTGTAAAGACGTATGACATGGTCTGAAAAACTCCTGATCCGACACCTCTGACATTTAAATTATTATGTCAGGCTTTACAGGGCGGCTTACAGCAGCGCATGCATAACATATTTTATCATTTTTTTGTATTATTCAGGCTCAGTAATGCTACTTCTTTCAACTTCAACAGAAAAAAGATATGCAGCACAGCTAATACTGTATGTGTGAGTGTGTGTGTGTGCATGTGTGTGCCTGCATGTAGCATGCGTGTGCGTGTGTGTGTATGTGACGGCTGCCAGGGTCAGCCCTGTCCTGGGAAAGTTGCTCTCTCCATTTAAATCAGCACATGCTGCGGCCTTCTGGTGGCTGCATGGGCCCACAGAATGACAGATGGCACCAGCCCATAACTATAGACTCACCACTGCACTATCCCTCAGGGAGAGGTTGGGGGGGTGTAGGGGGTGACAAACAAGGGGTTTGTGTGAACAGAAGACAGGGAAAGAGACGCAGTGTTGATTTTTTAACCCTAATCTCTGAAACTGAGTTCATATCTCAGCCGTGTTTACACACACGTCGAGCATTGCGGTCATTCTTGCGTTTCTTTCTTTTTTTAGCCTTTTCTAGCATAAAAAATGAACCTCAAATACATTTCGGTGTTACAAAGGCATCATAACTGTCTAAAACACGAAATATGTCTGTAGACAGCAAAGCAAACTCGTTTAGACCTTACAGACGAACATCAGCTGCACTCTTAAAAAGATGGTTCTTCAAAGGTTCTTTAGTAAAAGGAACGGTTCTGCGTATGCCCTATAGGCATGCTTAAATGGTTCTTGGAAATGATGGATGGAGAATGTGCTGTATGGGGTTCTATATGGAACCTTTTTGAAAATGGTTCTCTATAGTACCTAAAATGGTTCTACTATTTTTACAAGCTTATTTTTACAATAGCAGAACCCTTTATGATGCTATATAGAACCATTTTCAAAAAGGTTCTATATAAAACCATATACAACCACCATCATTTCCAACAACCGTTTAAGCATGCAAATGGTTCCACACAGAACTCGTGGTTTTAAATAGAACCACTGTCTTTAGTAAAGAACCCTTGAAGAACCATCTTTTTCTATATAAATATAAAATATATGTTCAATATATCTACAATATACATGTAGATAGTTAGATGATAGATCCCAGACAACACCTTGGCAACGAGCTTCCCTGACAACAGCGTTTCCCAGGCAACAACGCCAAGCCTCGGTCTCCCGGGGCAACAGCGGGCTTCAGCTGTCAGGCTCTCTCTTCCTGCCGTCGTTTATCATTTACCCTGCACTCTTTTCTGTTGTTAATCCAGCGTGTATCCGTGTGGCTTCAGCCTTCTGCGGTATGAGGCTGCAGTTAATCCCAGTATCTCTGAATCTCTGAATACTTTTTTTCCTGTACAGTTTGATCCACTCTGAATGTGCACTAACAGTACGTGCACCGTTTGGACGCTAGTTGGCGCCAAAACTCCTTTAGTGAATTTCCGATGTCTACTTCTGTTAAAAAAATATATGAATAATACATTATTTAAAAAAAAATATTAATAATATAGTACTCTATAAATATTATAACCTCAGCCTTAATATATTAATAGATTTTTTAAATTGGGTCAAGTCTTTAGAAGTGAAGATGTAAACTTAATCAGGCCAAGAGTTTAACATAGGCCTGCTTGCACATTTAATGTGTTATAACATAAGCCCAACTTTAGTAGAGGCTCTATATTATGATATAAATTCCTGCCCAAAACGAGATTTAGTCTGATAAGGAAATATGGCACAGAACTTGCTTGAATTGGTCTGAAGTGATGATGTTTTGTAGGCCTGTATGTTGGATGAACAACTAACAGTACTTTTAATTTTTTTTTTCAATTACATGCAATTTTCATACTTTAATTCACAATGAAATTAGTATTTACTAATGTTATAATTAAAAGTTTTTAAAAAATAGTTTCATGTGACCATAAGACTCAATAGAATGTAATGATAAACTGAGTGGTTTAAATTCCCCTTTTGTCATATGATTTAATCTATGTGAATTTAAATAACATGTTTACCAAAGGAAATAAAAAAAATCATATATGGATATTAATGGATAAAAATAGAGGCTGTGTGAGCTAATTTAATTTGAATGTTACAATGTCAAGTAAGGGCCTATAATATTACTACAATATTAATATAAGATATAATATAACCTAATTTGTCAATATTGGCTCTGTAATGTAACCTCAGTGTTAATATAGGCTCTATAATATAACCTCAGCATTGATATAGGCTCTATAATATAACCTCAGTGTTAATATAGGCTCTGTAATATAACCTCAGTGTTAATATAGGCTCTATAATATATTCTCAATGTTAATATAGGCTCTATAATATATTCTCAATGTTAATATAGGCTCTATAATAAATCCTCATAGTTAATATAGGCTCTATAATATATCATCAGTGTTAATATAGGGTCTATAATATAGCGTCCGTGTTATTATAGGCTCTATAATATAAATGCAGCATTAATATAGGCTCTATAATATATACTCAGTGTTAATATATGTTCTATAATATAAACGCAACGTTAATATAGGTTCTATAATATAACTCCAGTGTTAATATAGGTTCTCTAATATAACCTCAGGGTTAATATAGACTCTCTATTATAACCTCAGCGTTCATATCGGCTCTACAATATAACCTCAGCATTAATATAAACTCTCCATTATAACCGCAGTGTTAATATAGGCTCTACAATATAACCTCAGTGTTAATATAGGCTCTATAATATAACCTCAGTGTTAATATAGGCTCTATAATTTATCCTCAGTGTTAATATAGGCTGTATTTTTTATCCTCAGTGTTAATATAGGCTGTATTTTTTATCCTCAGTGTTAATATAGGGTCTGTAATATATCCTCAGTGTTAATATAGGGTCTGTATTATAAACTCAGCTTTAATAGAGGGTCTATAATATATCCTCAGTGTTAATATAGGCTCTATAATTTATCCTCAGTGTTAATATAGGCTGTATTTTTTATCCTCAGTGTTAATATAGGGTCTATAATATATCCTCAGTGTTAATATAGGCTCTATAATTTATCCTCAGTGTTAATATAGGGTCTGTAATATATCCTCAGGGTTAATATAGAATCTATAATATATCCTCAGTGTTAATATGGGATCTATAATATAACCTCAGTGTTAATATAGGCTCTATAATATAACCTCAGCGTTAATATAGGCTCTGTAATTTATCCTCAGTGTTTATATACGGTCTGTAATATAACCTCATCTTTAATATAGGGTCTATAATATATCCTCAGTGTTAATATAGGCTCTATAATTTATCCTCAGTGTTAATATAGGCTGTATTTTTTATCCTCAGTGTTAATATAGGGTCTATAATATATCGTCAGTGTTAATATGGGATCTATAATATAACCTGAGTGTTAATATAGGCTCTATAATATACCCTCAGGGTCATTAAACCAGGCTAAGCTTTCTGTAAAAGCTCCAGAAGAGGCTTGTGACTGAAGCCCCGGGTGTGAGCTGTAGGCTGGTGTAGGCTGGTAATAAACTTGTAGGCTGAGCTCTAATCCGCTTTCCCCGGAGCCCAGATGCGGACTGTGTTCATCAGCTGCAGTGAAACTTCACTCAGCGCGTCCCGCGAGCGCGCGGACTCTGGCGAGGCTGGAGCAGATCAGTTCTACCGCAGAGGAAGCAGCATGTCTTAGAGCAGACCCAGAGGATCGTTTAGCGCCGTTTGAGTGAGAAATGCCGCCTCAGGACGATCAGGCTCCTCCAGTGCCGCCCAGAAGAGCCGGGACCTGCTCCATCTCACTGCCCGAGCGGAGGCTGAAGTGCGTGCTGGTGGGAGACGGAGCGGTGGGCAAAACCAGTCTGATAGTGAGCTACACCACCAACGGATACCCAGCAGAGTACATCCCCACTGCTATAGACCACTTCTCAGGTAACATCAGAGGAGCGTGTGGGTTAGGAGCACAGTGACTATGCACAGTGAGCCTGATGTTAATACAGACTGTACAGTACTTAAAACGGACCATGTGTTTTATAGACTGTGCTGTATAGACTGTGATACAAAAGGTTAGTGTAGGCAATTTTATACAATAAAGACTATATTATATATCCACAATGTTACATAAACTATATGATAGACTAGTCAATGAAGACTATATTATATATCCACAATGTAATATAAACTATACAATAGACTAGTCAGTGAAGACTATATAATATATCCACAATGTAATATATACTATACAATAGACTAGTCAATAAAGACTATATTATATATATATACAATGTAATATAAACTATACAATAGACCAGTCAATAAAGACTATATTATATATATATACAATGTAATATAAACTATACAATAGACTAGTCAATGAAGACTATATTATATATCCACAATGTAATATATACTATATGATAGACTGGCAATAATGACTATATTATATATATATATATATATATATATATATATATATATATATATACACAATGTAATGTAAACTATACAATAGACTAGTCAATAAAGACTATATTATATATCCACAATGTAATAATAGACTGGTCAATAAAGACTATATTATATATCCACAATGTTGATATAAACAATATAATACACACTTATTAACAATGATTATATAACATACTCACAATGTTAATATAAGCTAAATAATACATATGTACAATATTAATATGAACTAAATAATACAAACCCCCCAATACTATATAACACATCCACAATGTTAATATAAACTATATAATACACACTCATTAATTAAGAATATATAATGAATCCATAATGTTAAAATAAACTAAATTATACAAACTCATCAGTAAAGACTATATAACTATCCATGAAGGTTAATGTAGGCTAAATAATACAAACTTGTCAAAAAAAGACTATATAATGTATTCAGAATGTTAAACTATATAATACAAACTTGTTAAGATTTACGTATTTAAAGGTTTATAGAGTATATTATATAACTTAAATGCTTATATGAACTATATAGCACAGGCTAAGACAGGTTAATATAGCCTGTATGATAGACTATGTAATACAAGTATAAACTATATAAAATAACTTATGTATCATTTATATTGTTTATGCTAACCAGTATTATATAGTCTATATTAACCTGTATTAATCTGTACTATATACTTCACCGTATAATTTAAATTATATTTTACAGTCTATATAAACATGTATCCATATATTATATTAAACAATATTATATTTTGTTTGTTTTAACTTCATGGGTGAAATGGGCAGTAAAATTCACAGAGACTCACTGTAAACATACGATCTTTGGCCAGGTGGTAGTCAACTTATGTCAGGACACCAGATGTAGCCTAACCGATGATTAGCCTACTTTTACTCTCTGGAGCTTTTAAGACCTGTGAAGCTAAAGCCACTAGGTCGCTCTAAGGTCGTTTCAGGGCACTCACGCTAGTGGGTAGGCAAATAACAGTTTGTTGTACCAACAATAGAATAGCTTTGCTTGCTTTGTATGTTCCGATTATCAGTGTATTGATTATTGACTGGTTATTGATTATGTAACTCTTTTTCTCCATCGTTCAGCGAGGGTTGCGGTGGATGGAAGACCAGTACAACTTCAGCTCTGTGACATGGCAGGACAGGTGGGGGAGGTTGAATCAATTGATTTCTCTCTCTTATTCTGATGTTACTGTGAAATTAAGTAAACATACTTAGAGCTCTATAAGCTACTGCTCTAATACGGCCACTTCTCAGGCTGCATATCAGCAACATCACTATCATCATTTTTATTTATATACTGCAGGGCATTTTTGTTTATATAATTCAGGACCCAAAGTGTGTCCAGTGGGTCAAAGTATGTTCACAATGATGTTTGATTTGGCCAGTTAGGGCCATTTTAAATACTTTTTAGCTTCTTATTTTCTTTTGAAATCGTATTTTTGTACTGCACTTAGTGATAAAATACATAGTGTAAGGTTATAATTAAAAAGTAAAAAGTCTATAATCCTTAACACAATACAGCTGTCACTGAAAGCGCGTGTAGTCAAAAGCTACATGCTAATCCAGCATATCAGACAGTGCTGCCATATGGACAATACATAAACGACACTGTATTTGGTGTAGTGTAGTGGGTAACACCTCGGCTTTCTATGTTGTAGACTGAGGTTCAATCCCCTGGCTGGGAAAGCACCCTACACTATACCAATAAGAGTCCTTGGGCAAGAGTCCTAACACTACCTTCACCTACCTGTGTAAAATTATCAATTTGTAAGTTGCTCTGGGTAAGAGTGTCTGCCAAATGCCGTAAATATTTATCTTCTTAGACAACCATCTCGCACCTGCAGGTGGAAAACCACCGGTTTATAACTCCATGAGCTAGCAAACGAAATAACAACCTTTACCTTGCATAAGACGTGCTGAGTTATGTTAGCTCTGAACCAGCAAATAAACTATATTCAACAATATTATCCATAATTAAAAAAAAAAACTTCCAGTGTACAACAACTGAGATTCGAATTGGTCAGTTTTATCAGTCAAGTCAAACATAAAGCTAACAGCTTGTCAGCTAGCTGTCCTTGTCCTTCAGTCCACTGCAGAACATCACACTTTGACCCACAAAGACAAAAAGTTTGGGCACAACTGCTATAAGCTCAAGATGATTTACAAGAAATACACAACACATAACCATTGTTATCCTCCATGTATTCTGGTCCTTCAGGTAATAAATAATATTCCATTTTCTAGTGTATTGTTTTCATAGGCAGTACAGGACCTAAGGCGTCTCCCACAGTACCCACCAAACTGTCTCAGAAATACTAAATCCATCCTGTGCTGAAAAAAGTGATGCACTGAAATTACGTGATTGAAAGGCGTACATAATTTGCACATGAGTAAAAGAACAGATATAGTCAAAAGTGCCCTCTCAGAAAAAAGGCACCTTTCAGAGTATGCCGTCACTGGTACCCTGTCATCTTCAGAACTTTTAATGTGGGACCTAATTGGACCATCTTCTGTTACAGAACCATAGGCCCTTTCCAACTGAGGTTCCATAACCTTTTGAGAAACTAAAAGAGTTGCTGAACCATAGGCGCTTTTCTATTGATGTTCCAGAACCTTTTGAGGAACTAAAAAGTCCACGTACTACAGACACTTTTCTACTGAGGTTCCACAACTTTCTGAGGAAGTAAGGAGTTTCCACACCATGAGGCACTTTTCCACCAAGGTTCCAGAACTTTTGATGAATGAAAGAGTTGCTGAGCGAAGGATGCTTTTCTTCTGAGGTTTCAGAACCTTCTGTGGAACTAGAGTTCCGGCACTATACCTGCGTCGTCTTCAGAACTTTTGTTGTGAGACCTAATTGGACCATCCTCTGTTACAGTTATTTTTAAAAATTGGATTGACTCCATATACTCTATTGTAACTCCAAGACCTCTAATTTAATTATTACCTTTAAATTAAATGAATGGTACATAATCAGACCTTAAGGACCATAGCTGTACCTTTGAGGGTACATTTAGGAGGTTTGTACTTTGGGGGGCAAATAAAAATGGACCTGTACAGTACTAGATTTCACACAAATTAATTTACACAAATATTACATGAATCAAGCAAATTCAGTGCATCACCTTTTCAGCGTATATTAGATCAGAGGTTTAATGTTACGACTTCTGGTGGATAGAGATGAATGGATAAAGGTTTTTCTCTCTTTTTTGAATCTCAGAGGTGGGAAACAAAGGAAGGGTCTCTAAACGTAAGCCCCTGATTGATTAGTCAGTGACTGGTTATTGATTAGCACCCCATAGATTATAACTTTAGATTTGAAATGTCCTTTTTTGAGTAGACAGAGTAGATTGTGTGTGTAACTCCACTGGCAACCCTGCTAGACAAACCAGCATAGACTAGCATGCCTGGTCACCAGCAAAACCAGTATTTGTTGTTTTAGATGCTGGTATGTTGATCAACCAGCATGACCTTGCTGGGAGACCAAACCAGCACGAGATCAGCATAAACCAGATTAGAAAAGCATGGAATTCTGTGCTGCTTATTTCATGAAGGAGGAAGGGAATGAAGGATATTCGCTAATAATGCTTCTCGCTGAAGCAGCAGACACAGAGTTTGGGTCATAAGTTATGCTTTCAAAAAGTGCTCTTGTCTAGGAATCAATATCGAAGGTGGTGTATTTCTCTCAAAATGGCTAATGTTGCTAATAATGAATGTACAGTAGTAGCAGCTGAAATTATTCCCATTAGTGTTCATTCATTGTTAGCCATGTTAGCCTGTGACCTGCATTTTCAGAAACTTTTGACCCACAACTGCATTTTGAGTTGATAAATGTTTAATATTCTTCTTAAGTATTATCTTTGTGCTTCATATACAGGACAATCTATGCTCACTGCAACGTGCAGCACACCAGCTTCAGACAGAAACCTAGCTAGCTAACTAGATGAAAAAGTAGCAAACAAGTCATTCTGTGTTTGAGAGCTTAAAATCTATGTTTATAATTGTAAATTGATAATAAAATTGACATAGTATGAGACTTTATTTGAGGGAGAAAACAATGAAAACCACAAAGCAGCCCAGAATCATATTTTTAAAATCAGTTTTCTCTACAAATGGGCTCTTGTGACTTACTGGTCATTGTAACTGAAAGCAACAGAATATGTCACGTTTGAGTGATGTATGTATTGTCACTGTCAGAACTAAAGCTTGTGTCTCCATATTTGTGTAAATTGGGAAAGACCAGCTGCTGTTTGCCCTGTTTCAAAATTCAGTGATGAATTAAGCAATATTAATGTACATTTACATATTGCTGTTGTCAGAAGAAAACCTCAATTCTCCAAAATGACAACTTTACAGGAAAAGGAAAAAAACCTACTTTACTTTTAATGTAAGTCAGTGGAACCAGACTTTTTTCCAAGTCATTTTAGGTCATTTCTTTTGGTCCATTCATCATGAAATTTACACACAATGTAAAGGACAACAGACATTAATCAAATTATGTCAAAAACTGAAAAACGAGGTTTTCTTCCGACAGCAGCGATATATTAAAATGTAAGAGCCTGTTTAATTTCTCCTGTAAAGCTTTTTGGAGATACGAGGTTCTGTTTCAATAGTGACAGTATATATTTATCTTCTGCACTCTGCTTCTCTCACACCGGTCACTCTGTCCCACCCCCTGCAGGTGGAGTTTGAGCGCCTCCGTCCACTCTGCTACCACGATGCTGACGTCTTCCTGCTCTGCTATAGCATCATCCTGCCGCCCTCGTTCCGCAGTGTGGCAGAGCGGTGGGCACCGGAAGTCCGCCGGCTGTGCCCTGGGGTCCCTGTTATCCTCGTAGGGACACAGTCAGATCTACGTGAGGATGTGCAGGTGCTGATACGCCTGGCGGAGGAGCAAGAGCGGCCAGTTAGCGAGGAAGATGCCCGGCTGTGTGCTCAGAGCATTGGGGCGGTGGCCTTCGTAGAGTGTTCAGCACTAACACAGAAAAACTTGAAGGAGGTGTTCGACACGGCCATCGTAGCCAGCCTGCAGCATGCGGAGGAGGTGCAGGAGGAGGGTCTGAGGAGCCGGCACACGCTGCGGGAGAAAACACCTGACAAAATCAAACAGTTGTCAGAGACCTGGTGGAGAAAGCTGAGCTGTTTCATGTGAGGATTTTCATGTTGGTACTTTGAATACAGGGATACACGAGGAGCATTTCCACCCAGCATCTGGAACCTTTTGAGAAACTAAAGAGTTCTAGAACCAGAGGCTCTTTCCAATGGAGGTTCCAGAACCTTTTGAGGAACCAACAGGTTCCAGAACTACAGGCGCTTTTCCACCAAATTCCGGAACCTTTTGAGAAACTCAAGAGTTTGAGAACCAAACCCTTTCCAACTGAAGTTCCATAACCTTTTAAGGAACCAACACATTCCAGAACTACTATTTTCCACCAAATTCTGGAACCTTTTGACAAACTAAAAAGTTCTAGAACCATAGGCCCATTCCAACTGAGATTCCAGAACCTTTTGAGGAACAAATGGGTTCCATAACAACAGGCAATTTTCCACTAAAGTTCCAGAATCCTTTGAGAAACTAAAGAGTTGCTGAACTACAGGCACTTGTCTACTGAGGTTCCAGAACCTTTAGAGGAATCTACGGGTTCCAGAACTACAGCGCTTTTCCACCAAATTCCAGAACCTTTTAAGAAATGAAAGAGTTCTAGAACCAGAGGCCCTATCCAACTGAGGTTCCATAGCCTTTTCAGGAACCAACAGGTCCCTGCTCTCAAGTAGGAACTAAAAAGTTCTTGGAACTACTACTGAACTTAGATCAGCCCTGGATTCCTCTGGTGGAAATGTGCCTTAAAATTTGTTTTTGAAAAAGTTTTTGGTTCCTAAAAAGGTTCTTGTAGTGGAAACATGTGTATCACAAAACTGATGTGGCTGGTCCTGCCAACGCACCTTTAACAAAACTGTGTTCCCCTATGGCGTCCCTCTATGTGTTCAAGTCAGAGGAACTTAGTATCAGAATACTAACCACCAAGCAAAAGCTGAACTGTCAAGAATGTTCATTCATTGTTACGCTCAATCAACTGGGCACACCAGCATTCCCTGGATGCACGCCCAGCAAAGTCAGTAAGAACCTCATTTAAGACGTTTCCATATAAAAGTTGGACAATGTTTTGGTGAGGGGATACAACTGGTTATACATCACCACCTGTAATTGTAGAGCCTGTTTCACTCATTTCTCCTCACTTCACTCACACTATTATGTTTAGTTCTGTTTCAGTGACTTAACAGGCTAAGAATTTGGGACAATTGGCTGCCAATCAGGCGTGCTCATCAGAATATTAGGCCACACCCAGACAGTTCTCAGATAGGTCTTTGCTGGATGTTTGAAATAACACTTAATTTCATATCGTACAGACATATTTCATAATTTACACTGTGTTCCCTGGGACTTTAAGTTATGTTTGATGGAAGTTTTCCATTTCTTTCTTCTGGTCTGATTTAACCCTCTGGGCTCCATGAACTCGCCCGCACGTCAAATTCAGTGTTTTTATATCTGTTTCTCTATCTTTGCGATAATACAGCTCAGAAATATGGTTCAAACTTTCCTGAATCTGTAGAGTCGCCCTTTCCATTCCAGCATATCGTGAGATCATACATGACTCCCATTCAGAGTTATGAGCCTATAAAGAGGGGCTGAGATACACATCATCTGCCTCTCACCGTGTGGAACTGGTGGATTTGTGTGTCCATCTACATTCTGTGTGAAACTGACCAACAGACACTCAGAAAATCACTAAGACTGACCATCACGCCGGAAACGCTTCGTTCTTCATTCAGTCCACATCGGAGACACATGTGAAATGGTGTGCAGAGAGTTTACAGCTGCTGAAGTTGCTGTTTTGAAAAGTAGTGATGAAGATAACGGGGCATTTTGATGCAGCCTTTAAAGGAGAATTTAAGAAGATATGCACAAATTCACAAAATGCCCTCAGACCCCAGAGGGTTAAAATGTCACAGACATCCTTCAGAGCAGGGTGACCACGCAGGTCAACTACACGTCTCAGGTAGACAAGGTTAAGTTAAAGGCTGTTAGAGAATAAATGTGAATCCACATTGTATGTTACAATTTATTACTGACTGTTTTAATACTTATTTACTTAATTATTTATATTATTTATTTTATACTGGAGGATTGTTGAGAAATTGTTTTGTTTAGAGACTCTTGCAAAACTTGCAAAAGTGGGATCTCTTTTTAAATGAAATGTTATTTACATTATGTGTAATTTTTATTGCATAAATAAACATCAAAACAAACCACTGACTCTGAATCTAATGGCATTTTTTGAGAAGCTTGTTTGCAGCATAAGATAATAAGAGCACTTTCAAGATTTGTTTTTTTATTAGATGTGACGTATCTTATGAAACTGGCTTGTAACTCACTCGTGTTTAGCAGGCTAAAAATTGTTGCACCCAAGCCTAAGATCACCAGCGTTGGGCAAAATACTTTAAAAAAGTAGCAATGGCTGAATACTGAATACACTGTCCTAGATGTACTCAGTAATGTATTCCTTTACAATATATATATATATATATATATATATATATATATATATATATATATATATATATATATATATTAACATATTCAGAGCATGTTTTAACACATTTAGAATATTTATTGATAAGACAAATAGGAAAATTCACACTGTTCATTTAGATCAAGTTCTTCTGAAATTCTTAACTTTTTCTTTTTTTCTGTCATCGCCTGCTTCAGTCCACTGCTACTCCCACAGTTCCCCGAGCAGGAGTCCAGTATAACAGTAAACTTATTGCTCATAAACATGTCCACTACTGAGGAGAATATTAGTTTGATCATCTTTCAAATGAGCTTATTAACACTATGACTAATAACTAGTTCATCTCATTGATTTATCAGTCTATTCAGGCTTTAGCAGAGCTCAGTAACACTGAGATTAATAACTGATCATCATATTGATTTATCAGTCTACTCAGGCTTTAGCAGAGCTCAGTAACACTGAGGTTAATAACTGATCATCAGATTGATTTATCAGTCTACTCAGGCTTTAGCAGAGCTCAGTAACACTGAGATTAATAACTGATCATCACATTGATTTATCAGTCTACTCAGGCTTTAGCAGAGCTCAGTAACACTGAGGTTAATAACTGATCATCACATTGATTTATTAGTATTCTCAGGCTTTAGCAGAGCTCAGTCACACTGAGATTAATAACTGATCATCACATTGATTTATTAGTATACTCAGGCTTTAGCAGAGCTCAGTAACACTGAGGTTAATAACTGATCATCACATTGATTTATTAGTATACTCAGGCTTTAGCAGAGCTCAGTAACACTGAGATTAATAATTGATCATCACACTGATTTATCAGTCTACTCAGTACACTGTTATAGCCTCAGGGGAAGGGGCAACTCCATATTCATGTCCATGATTTTTGGATGGGATGTCTAACATACAGGTGTGATGATCAGTTGTCCACATACTTTTGGCCATACAGTATACTTCAAACTACAACAAGAATTTAATACAGTACCTATAGTATACAATTATGGGTACCACTTTAGATTAAGACTGCCCTTATAAAGCGTTTATTAATGGTTTAAAATTAGTTTATTAATGGTTATTAGTTAGGTCATAAACACTTTAAAAATTATTAATAAGCAGTTATTAAACATTAATAAAAAGATGAGCTGTTATATCTGGGGAATATGAATATGTGATGAAGCTGACAGTTTAAAATGAGGGTTAAGAGTATAAATGAATATGGGTTCACTATTAGGCAGGTCACTGTTGCCCTTTTTATTTATGTGCTATAACTGCTTATTAATGATTTTAAGATGTTAATGACCTAATTAATATCCTTTAGTAAGCACATTTAAGGGCAACAGTGACCTGTTGTTTGCTTGTTTGCTTAATCATGAAGCCACATTCATTTAATCTCATATTTTGATGATTACTGATCTTACTTTGTGTTCCCCATCAGTCAGCATTAAACCGTCAGCTTCATCACTATTCATATTCATCAGAGATAACAGCTCATCTTTAAACTAACTGCTTATTAATGATTTTAAAGTGTTTATGAACTAACTAATAACCATTAATAAACTAATTTGTAAATCATTCATAAACCCTTTATAATGGTAGTCTTATTCTAAAGTGGTCCTGTCACTGGGTTAGGGAGTGGGGTTTCTGGCAGGCCAAGTCTCCCCACAGTTCACTCAGTCATACCTCCACTCAGTGGCAGCTGTACCGGCCAGACGGCCTGTAATCAGATTCCATCAAATGAAATCAGCAGAGCTTTCCCTGCCACAGCAAACTGGAGCCAACAGCCTGCTGCTACAGACTGCTCTACAGGTCACTCTCCATAAACAATCAGTTCATCAGTGTTTATTTATATGGCACCTGCTATACAAGCAATGGTATTTTACATTTTTTAAGAGTGTCACGTAGTTAGAACCAAGACCCACAACAAGTTAAGGAAAAAGTTGCAATACCCGTTGATCCATAGACTTATTATTCAGCCATTAATCTTCATAATCTGATGTCCATCTGCTATACAGAGAACACTTAAATTTCCATTTATTTGCTGAGTTTAACATACATATACATGTATCTCTGTTGTTGTAAGAAAACCTCATATCTCCAAAATGCTAAACAAACTTTACATGACAACAAAAAAACCTACTTTATTTTTATAGTAAGACAGTGGAACCAATGGACGTTTTTCCAAGTCATTTTGAGTTGTTTCTTTTAGTCCATTCATCATGAATTTCACATACAATGTAAAGAGCAACAGACTTTTTCAAATTATGTCAAAAACAGAAAAACGACAAAAATGGAGATACAAGGTTTTGGTCCAACAGCAGCGACATACATATATGTGTGTATAAATATATATATATATATATATATATAGATATATATATATATATATATATATATATATATACATGTGTGTATGTATATTTCTTCCAGTATGTCAAATTCCAATAAACATATACAAATAAACAGGAACTGTGCAATTGTGCATCAACAAAAACATGTACTTTCGATCAGGGGGGCCCAACTTTGACACATGACTGTAAAGTAGAAGTAGAAGTCAATGAGCAGGTACTGG